TGGGGCTCTGTACCCTGTCACGCACAGAGCAGGGCCAATCAGGGGGTTGGGGCACTGCCCCCGTCACACACAGAGCAGGGCCCATCAGGGGGTTGGGGCACCGCCCTCTATCACCCACAGAGCAGGGCCGATCAGGGGATTGGGGCGCCGCCACTCTCACACTCAGGGCAGGGCCGATGGGGAGGTTATGGCTCTACCCCGTCACACACAGAGCAGGGCCCGTGGGGGGCGGGGGGGGGGGGCTGGGGAGCTCCCCCCTATCAGGCACAGAGTAGGGCTGATCAGGGGGTTGGGGCGCCTTCCCCTGTCATGAACAGAGCAGGGTGGATAGGGAGGTTGTGGCCCTGCCCCCTGTCACACACAGAGCCGCAGGGCGATCAGGGGGTTTGGGCGCTGCCCCCTGTCATGCTGATGCCAGTGCCAGGAGGCCTCGCGGCTCCGCTGATCCCCGTGCTGGGAGGCATATTACCCTTTTACTATATAGGTTAGAGGCCTGGTGCATGGGTGGGGGCCGGCTGGTTTGCCCTTGAAGGGTGTCCTGGATCAGGGTGGGGGTCCCCACTGGGGTGCCTGGCCAGCCTGGGTGAGGGGATGATGGCTGTTTGCAGCTGGTCACACATCCTTCAGGGTGGGGGTCCCCACTGGGGTGCCTGGCCAGCCTGGGTGAGGGGCTGAGGGCTGTTTTCAGGCTGGGGTGACTGAAGCTCCCAACTGCCCCTTTTTTTTTTTTTTTATTCTGGGCCAGCTTTAGCTTTGAGGCTTGGCTCCAGCTCTTAGGCCTCCGCTGCTGAAAGTAGGTTTCTGGCCTTTGCTTACAATGTTGCGAATCTCCTGGCTGAAGTCCGGTGGTATTTGTTACAGAGTTTCTTAAACTGCCCGCTCAGAGGCCTGCAGTGGCAGGCGGGGAACGTTGGAGTCCTCCGTCACTGAGGCAACCAAGCCTCATGTTAGTTTCAAGCTGCCTGGCTGCCGGCGGCCATCTTGGCTGACAGTTAATTTGCATATCTTGCTGATTAGCCAATGAAAAGGGTAGCGGTCGTAAGCCAATTACCATGTTTCTCTTTTATTAGTGTAGATACAGAGCCATGAGGAAACTAACAAATGTGCCAGTTACAAACATAGGAAGTATTTTATTTTTCTCTCTTAGTGCCTATTTTAAAATCACAATTCTGGCTTCATTACTAGGTGATAATAGAACGATACAAGGGTGAGAAGCAGCTTCCTGTCCTGGATAAAACCAAGTTTCTTGTACCTGATCATGTCAACATGAGTGAACTCATCAAGATAATTAGGTAATCACCTTTTTGTTTTTTTTATTTCTTTAGGTAACTCATTTGTATTTTATTTTTTTATCTTAGGAGGGGAGGTGGGGGAAAGGAAGGAGAGAGAGAAACAGAAACATTGATGTGAGAGAAACATTGATCGGTTGCCTCCCGCGTGTGCCCCACTGGGACCGAACCCAAAATCTAGGTATGTGCCCTGATCGGGAATCAAACCCACCACCTTTTTTGTTGTTGTTAATCCTCACCTGAGGATATTTTCCCATTGATTTTTAGGGAGAGTGGAAGAGAGAGGGAAAGACAGAGAGAAGCATCATGTGAGAGAAACACATTGATTGGTTGCCTCCTGCACGAGCCTTGACCATGGCCTGGGCCAAGGAGGATCCTGCAACCAAGGTACGTGCCCTTGACCGGAATCAAACCCGGGACCCTTTGGTTGGCAGGCTGACGCTCTATCCACTGAGTCAAACCAGCTAAGGTGAACCCACCACCTGTTGGTGTTGGGGACATCCTGATACTCCAACCAAGCCACACCAGCCGGGGCTTAACTTCTTTTTTTTAAAAAAAATGTTTTTATTGATTTCAAAGAGGAAGGGAGAGTGAAAGAGAGAAACATCAATGATGAGAGAGGATCATTGACGGGCTACCTCCTGCACGCCCCCTACTGGGGACCAAGCCCACAACCCGGGCATGTCCTGATGGGAATAGAACTCTGACCTCCTGGTTCATGAGTTGATGCTCAACCACTGAGCCACACCAGCTGGGCTAAGTTCTTATTCTTTATCACACTTACAGATAAATCTTTGGTTCTGATTAAAATTATTCAAGCTTAATAAAACCATAAGATGTTTCATTTCTTAGTTTTTTATATTTTTTATCTGATCCTTTCATAACATCTAGTGTAGATGTCCTTTAATCAGAAAAGTTACAAGTTTTGTGTAGCAAAATTAATAAAAGAATTCAGATTTGGTATAGTGGTAATAAATTGTACCATCTTAGGTCTTAGTTTGTAAATATTTTGAACTATTTTTCTCACATTTTAGACTCTAATGACACTCTTCAGACAGCGTAATAGTTTAAAACTCAAGAAGATAATAGGAATAACTTAAGGATTATCACTAATATTGATCATGAATATAATCATAGAAAATGTCTTATGCTTTATGAGAAGAAATATTAGTCATCATTGGTAAGGTATACACTTAATTTTGCCAGAAGCAGCATTTACAAAATCTTTATACTTTTAAAATCGATTAGTGGGTGATATTTTTACATATGTTCCCTACTTATTGATGTATCAGTATTTTTTCACATTTTCTTTCAATAGAAGGCGCTTACAGCTCAACGCTAATCAAGCCTTCTTCCTGTTAGTGAATGGGCACAGCATGGTGAGTGTGTCCACACCGATATCGGAAGTGTATGAAAGTGAGAAGGATGAAGATGGATTCCTGTATATGGTATACGCCTCTCAGGAGACATTTGGAATGAAATTGTCACTGTAAGACTAGAAAAATGCATCTGTTCTAGAATTTTTTAAACCCTTACCAACGGGGAAAAAAGGGATGTTACCAACTGAGATTGGATCTGTTCATCTAAATCACAGATCATCAAAACAGTAGTGTCTGGCCTAGGAGTTTTAGAAAGTTGTTTTTGTACTTTAAGCAGAAAAACTGAGCTCCAAGTGAGCACATTCAGCTTTGGAAAACTATATTATTTAACCTAGGCTGTCTTGTTTCAAAGTTTAAAAATAAAATACTTTGCATTCTAACTTACCAATAAGCTAGATCTTCAAGTTATTTTAATGTTCTTTCCCCAATAGGAACTTGCATTTTGAGCATTTAGAGACAGTAAGTCAGAACCTGCCAACTCCAACTAGAGAAATCTCAAGCATAGCCCCCCAAACACATTTGCCATAATACAGGCTAAATGGAGGTGTATAAGAAAATGGTGAACTGCTGTTAAAGGTTCCCGATTCCTATCAAGTATACCCAAGGCAACGCTCTTGCAGTGTTAGGAAGTTCTTGTTTGTTCTCCAGACAGTAACATACATGATGACACCACTGCTCAGGGGGAACCTTGAATAATTTATTTTGGTCAAGTTTCTCAAAAGGCCCAGAAGAAAAAAGTGACATTTCTTCTGTTTTGGATATTCTCTGATCACAGAGCTCAAAATAGTGCCTGCTTTGGTAAATAAACAAGCACTTGTATCAGTTTCATTCTTTAGGACAGTGGTAGAAACTACAGAATCCTGCAGATGATCCATGTTTTATGTTAAGTGTGTGACTAAAATATGTTGTTAAAAAGTTACCACATTTTTTAAAGAGTATTTCAGTCATCACTGTTAGGTCAAACCACCATTGAAATTCCCCCACTCTAAGCGCATGTCAGTTGTGAAGAAAGCAGTAAGAGGAGATATATTCTCTTCACAGAGATTAATGTTGAAAAGTTAAACATTTCCCAAGTCCAATCAGAATAACCAATACTTCCTACTACCTGCATGATTATTTACTATTTTCATGGAAATATCACAAAAAGATCACAGACCACTTTATATGTAGCAGGTCATGATTTGCCTTTGTGTATTTAGATGTGTATGGAATACTTGTATCAGTTAGTGGAAATTATTTACTATAATGTTGGGATTAGGCAGTATTACTGCGTATGGGCTCTCACCCCCCCCCCAACCTCCTATCACCTACCCCTACTGCTGCATGCGTCTGTCTACATGGCTAACTTTTAATATGTATATTTTTACATTATGTACATTCTTAATCGGCCTGTCTTTAGATTGTATGTCACTATATCTGACATTCTTGTAACTACTGTGTGATCGATAAGATTCCTATAAGAAATTCTGCTTTTTAAAAAACAATACCATGCTGAGAGGGGTGACATATCCCACGTTAGTGGGTAGTCACTCTATATTTATAGGATCTTTAAAACAAGTACATTTTTAAATGAACTAAGGTGAATAAAGGCACAACTAAAAACTGTCATTAAAGCTCAATTTAATGGATCAGTGTTTGAGACCTGCAGTCCTGCGTACTGTCTGTACTAGCCAAAGCCAAACAATACCCTTCCTAACAAGCAGCATCCAGGCTGGTTTTGCTGTGCTGGGGGAGCAGGTGGGGGGAGTGACACCTCTGAAGGCCTCCTGTCAGGGGCATCTTCTTCACTGTGGTCAAGGCTCTGCCACCTGGTCTTGTCGTTACAAAACTGTACTGAGAACTTACATGCCACAGAGGAGGATGGATGGGTGTGGGATGTAGGTTTTTTGTGGGAGTACACACTTGAAGACATATTGCTCTGAATGAACAAAGTAAAATAAACACAAAGGTATAGAGTGTGTACTAGTATGTGCAGTTAGGAAGGCATGACTCAAGGTACCTTAGTTTACTGGGGAGCCGCATCAGGTAAAGATATAATGCGAACAACCAGGCAGGTAGTGGCCAGTGTTACTGATTTGGAAAACTCTGGACCTGGACCCAGCTCAAGTTCAAGTAGGCCCTGCAATGTTTGTAGAAGAAAGAGTACAGGGAGTGGGTTGAGGAGATACTCTGCTTCCCTGAGTTCCTTGTTCAGCAGATGTGTACATGTCCCGCATCTCCAGTGGAAGAAGTGCTCCGTATTGGGCTGCCAGCTGTGTCTCATGTTACTTACCTAACAGTAGCCTGAAAAAACCAAGAGGCCTTATGGACCTTTATGGGGAAAAAGCTCCCTCTAGTGCTTGGCACTGCTCATGACAAAAATGTAGGCATACTCACACTGCCAACCTCCCAAATCCAAAGGACAGAGTTTAAGATGGTCGGGCACATTCACCATGCATTTGGGAATGTTTACAGACGCTTAGATCTGTTAACACCTACCTTGATAGTTATGAAACCATCTTTATACCCCAATCAAGAATTCACATTTCTATCCATACCAAGGGTATTTGTTAAAAACCTGGGAACCTTGACAGAAAACACGTTTAAGACTAAGTATTTCTTTTGTAAAGCTGGGAAGGCAGAAAGGATTGACTCCCTAGTTTGGAGATCAAGAATTGTGAATTATTTGAAAAGATGTGTGCTTTATATTTGAGGCAAAGACCTAATAAAATGAAAGTTTTTATTTTCATTTTTTTATTTTCAGTACATTAAATTTACTCATAAAAACATTCTAAAAATGTACAATTTTTCCATTTTTAACAAAGTATAATAAAACATAAAAACCCCAAAAACAATACTTGACATTTACAATTCAAAATCAAATTAGCAGAATATTAAATATTTACAAAACTATATTTTTAAAAAATATTTATAAAGTTACATGCAATTTTGTAGAACTGACATAAAAGAATGGCTCAAAAATGGGAGACTTTTCCTTCATTCCTAAAAAGAAAATATGTTCAATAGAAGCTGTGAAGATTCTTAAGTATACGAGGTCTTCAGTTTCAGTACCAAAGCCTTTGTCCTTGTGCATATAAAAACTTACCCATGTGAGGGGCTTGTTACAATACCCGACCGGCACTCCCCTCCCTCCATTAACAGTGTAGTAACATTGACCTTTGGCCTCAACCAGCACAGTATTTCGTTTTGTGAATGTTGATTAAAGATACTTTCTTTCATAACCTTGGGACTTGTCAATAATTGAGCCTCTTCAGAACCCATGGCTTTAAATGTCACCTGACTCATTCTTTGGGAGTCATCTGTCCTTTGGAAAGGATGGCCAATGGGATCAGGTTCCACAGGCGCTATCCTCTGAGATGGGTGGTCAAGCTGAGCAGGGACATGGTTTCCCTTATAACCTTTAAGAGTCTTCAACAGGTAACGCCATCAGTAAAACTAGCAAGGCATCAAAGAAACCACCATGAAAGTAGGAAGAGTGACAAAATGATAGGGAGTGAAGAGGGGAGGGTGCAACCCAATTCCTGCTTGGCAAGTGCTCACTAGAGACACTGGAGTGAGTGAATGAGTGCAAGCCTCAGTCAGCCTGTGCTCAAACAGGGAACACATTACAGCTGTGTGACGTCAGGCGAAGTTACTACCACTGCTACTGCGCCTCCATACATGATGTGTAGTGTAAACTAACTATGTTGACTTCTTGTGATAAAGGACTTATAGAATTCTAAATATAGTGAATTAAAATACTCAACCTACGAACTACTATATTAACAAGCTGACTCCTGTAATCTTTTGGAGATTATATAGATGATGCTGGTTTTTTTAAATACCCAATCACATATCGGCTTTCAAAAAATAAATGTTTTATTAGAAGTGCTAGCTCCCATTTCCTCAGTGCTCTTTAACAATTAGGAGTTTTAATGTTTAAACATTTTCCTATTTTCAGTATGACCATGAAATAAAAATTAGAAAATAAGGTAGAAAATTGACAGTTTTGCTTTAAAAAAAAAAAGATGAAGTAGTTGTTTCATCCCAACATTGTATTCTACTTTGATCTGTACATTCTACTTTCCCCATTCTTGAAGATAAAATGGGGTTAGAAACTTTAATATATGACAGACTACATAAAGCAAAGTGGCTGGTGCCACACCTACCTGTTTGCCACAGCACTTGGAAACAGCCACGGTTTCAGGAAAACGACTAAGTAGTTGAAAGGATCAGTCTGATCTGTGTTTCTAACGTGAGGACATCTTCTGAGGAAATGCAAAATGCTCTTTTAGGCCTACTGACTTTGGTTGCTTTCGGAGAGAAATTCATAATGCTGCTAGCAAATATTCCCAAGTCCAAGTATGCGATTCACTTGGAAGAGATCTGATGGATCAGCAGCTTTGTGTCCTGTGTTATCTCATATTTACATTTTACAATTCTCAACTTGGAATGACCTCATTGGAAATGTCACACCACACACATACTTTCAAAGAAACTGGGAATTTTTCTAAGACCTTTGATGACTGGAACACAGCCACACAATGTCTGAACTTATTTACCTCAATTTGAAGGTCATACTTCAAAGTTTGTTTTAATTTTTTGTTGTATTTAATGCTAATCTCTAATATTTATCAAAATAGTTATAAGGGTGACAAAAGACACTTTCATTTCCAATACTGACCATTAAAACAAAAAAACCTAAATATGACTTTTTTCTTTTGTTATGAGACAGTTTTCCACAATTTCACTGTGTTGAAATAGGATTTATTTAAAATATTTCTTTGTTTAAAAAACCAAAAAATTTAAAAGTTTGGCTTTCAGCACATATCCAGGCCACTGTAATGGCCTTCAGAAATATTAAAATCGTAAACATCAATGAACACTCTAAGTCTTCCTTTAACATAACATGACAAGTTCCAGTCTAATATTCTTTAAGGCAAAGTTGTGTCAGTTCTCATTATTTTGACATTTTTGTAGTGTTTATAATTTAAGAGATCAATGTAACATTCCCCCCAAAAACTGTTGTAAGCATCAGCTTTGCTTAAAAACTGTAATAATACTGTGTACCAGGAAGAGATATAAGAATACAGAGGTCAATTCTGCATTGCATAGAAATAAAACTCTACTAAAATAAAACTCTAAAAAACTCTACTAAAAGCCTTCCATAAAAAAAATGTAACAACTTTCTGCTTTAGTTTCCAGAAAGCCAGGAAACTGATCTCAAAATTTGAAACCTCACATCACAATGCCTCAAATTCTAGGGTATTCTTTTTATTTACATCAACTTTGAGGCTGATTGTCCCATTTTAAGAATGTTCTGAATATTATGTTTTCTCTTTTTAAATAAATATTCAACTGCAAAAATCCCTGGGTAAGGCCTTCCCGATTAATATTTTAATACTGAAGGCGTTAACATTTAAAATAACATTATTTGAGCAGAAAATTCCCTTTAGACTTGAAGATTTAAGTTCCTAAATTTCAGATCAGAAAGCTCTCATTGCAATGGGGTGAAATTGAGAACTGTGTGGTGAGGACTTTATTTCCCACCTCAATAAAACTAGACTTCTGCAGATCCTGTAGCTCTGTCCTGTTGGTGTGGTCTCTTTTAGAGTCTTATTTTTTATTGTAGCCTTCCAGGTTTTCAACAGAACTAATACAAAGTAAGTCAATAGGAGAAAATTTCAAATCTTTTGCTCATAAATTACAGAGTCCTGTAATTATTGTTGAAATGTGTGTCTCAAGTGTGAATCTGTTAACAGTAAGTCTTGGGGGTCCTTGGGAAGGCTATGTGAGATTTTAAAAAACTTGAAAACTTTGCTAAGGATAGATGGTGTCTGTTAGAGCCAGCTCACAAAGGCCGTGCTGTTACCGTGTGTCTGCAAGAGTTCCTTTGTGGTGGAAGATGACAGGCCTCAAAGATATGGAAGGACTGATAAAGAAGATATTCTCAAAGCTTTGACAACTAGGGATTTTCTGGGACTTGGACCCTTAGAAATTAAGTTGTTGTAAGTAACTATTTCTACTTAATAATGTAGTTTAAATTTATTTGCAGAAAAAATTAAAAACCTGAAACTGCTACAAAGTATTTTAAGGAGGGAAGTAAATACTAAGATCTCTGTTGTGTACAAAGTGACTAGCCTGCTGGTGCCAACTCTTTAAAGACAGATTCTCTGAATATCTTGCACTGACTGCTCTCAGGGAGTTTGTCTCCAGAACTGCAGAGATTGACATCAGTTTACATTCTTCTGTAGTGCAATCCCTAAAAAGCCCAGAAATTAGTGCCTAACCACTTTAGGAACAAAACAAAGCAAAACAAAGGTGACATTTTCCCTCACCCAGGGGTGTCAAGAGTCCGACTGGTGGAACTCCACTTGGAGAACTCCAACCTTCAGTTCTCGATTCCGATCTCGCGTAGCTGCCCTGGAATTACGTGTGAGCCTAGAAGGACCAATTACGGCAATGCTCTTCCAGAGACGGGAGGCCTCTGCACTGCCATCAAGGGTGGAGGTGGCCAATTTCACCTGCTGTGGAGATGCCCACTAGGCAAGTCCTGACATCAGGCTCCAATCTAGAATTTTGGCAATAAAACTGAGTTTGATGCACTCCTATGCTAGGTTTTCTATCCAGTCTAATAAAGTAAAGCACCTTTGGATTAAAAATATTAAGCTCAACAGCAACTAGACTTCTCAGTTTTGTATTTAATTTTCCTTATGTCTCCATGGCTTAATAGTGTTCTGTTGCCAGAGAAAAATATCAATCTGTGGAGTCCAGACTTTCTGCTGGAGGGGCATATTTCAACCTAAAAGTACCTAGAGAGAGGGAAAAAAAGAGATCAAATTTGAATCACTGTAGAATTACTACAAACAGCTGATCTGTCCAAAGTTATTTCGAGTCACTGGTCAAAATTCAGGTGCTGGAAATCTAGACCAACTATTCTAACCACTGCCAACCCCCCTCTTCCACCCCACAATTGATGCAAATTTACTAGTTTTCTAAAAATCAGACAAGGGGTGAAATGACTGAAGAGTTACCAATCCATTTCTTTATTCTTCTTAGGAGTGCTTTTTCTGGGACTCCAACAGCACCTAGCTGGTTGGCCGTCCAGCATGCATCCACTCGGGACATGCGTCCTATGGGGACAGGGCTCCGTGCTCTGGGCTAGCTGCATCAGGACATGCAGCACAATCTCTATCAACAGGGGTTGCCATAGCCCAGTTGCCCCACCTGCCACCAGACCTACTGAGTCTGAGCTGTTTGTCTTATAGTTCTCTAGGTCAGCACTCACCCACCGGTCCAAAAGGTTGGTGACCGCTGGTTTAAGGAAACCTTTGGAGCAGCAGTCGCCAACCGGTGGTCTGCGGACCACTGGGGGTCCGTGAGGTCCGAAAGGTTGGCAACTGCTACTCTAGGTGACTAAGATGCACAGGCAGGTCTGGAAAGCACAGGTTTAGAGCAACCCTAACACTTTCAGAGATCAAGTGACTTTTTAAGACTGCACAGTGAATAGTCACAGAGCTGAGACCAATTTCCCCAATGCCCGGTTTAAGCATCTGTCCAGAACCAACAGCAAGAACAAATCCATTGTAATAAATACATCAACCATACATTTGAATTTGACTAAAGGAGACAAAAGAGAGTGAGTGGGAGAAAGGGGGGAAGGCAGAAGATGGTAGAGCAGTGAGGATGGTATCACACACTCACGTACACACACCAACAGCCATGGCACCCTGGAGGGGAGAGCAGAAGTGGGGATACTGACTTCCACCCACAGCATTTGAACTCGTGCTGTATGCCCTAGGCTTTCAGCTAAAGGTTGGGGGTGGCATTAAATCACCCAAACTTGCTTCCCAGTCACATGGCAAGAAATAAGAAACCAAGGCGCCATCGGGCCAGACCCTCTCCACTGCCAGCTTAACATGCTCTAGAGTAAGAAGTATGAAATCATGAGGACAGTCTTAGAACCAAAACAACCCACCTTTTGGGGGCTTTAGAACCCACCAAGAATTTCATGCTTTTGCAAAGAGCATTTAAAAAATTACTTTTTGCTTTAAAAAGAGGCAAGTTTACTATTATTTTCATAAACAGTAAACCTTCGCCTGCACCTCTCTGGGCAGCGCTGCACTGCTAGCCAGTGTAGCCGGTCTGCCTCCGGAGCTTCACCGGCCGTGGCCTGCCTTTACCTTGCCGATTGAAGTCCATGGACGGCTGCTTGCAGTCCTGAGCGCGGTGACCGGTGGCCCCACAGTTGTAACATGAGAGATTGCCGCTCTTTTTGTGACTGGAACCATTGCTACTGCCCACCAAGCCCTGGGCCTGGTACACACCAGCTGCCCCTGCCATGAAGCTCTGCATGGGAGGGACGGTGAATGTGGACTGGCCGCCCAGCACGGGCTCGGCAGGCACACTGCTGCCATATGGTGAGTGCACAACCGGGAAGGCGCTGTTGCCATACTGCTGGGTGCCCACATAGCCGCTGCCACACACAGGGCTGAAGGGCAGGAAGGGGAAGGGGAAGACAGATGGGCCCGAGAACGGGTGCTGGAAATAGTTGGCGTAGCTAACGGTCAGGCCACCAGAGCCGCAGCTCCCGCTGCATCCACAGGACGTGCACACGACGCAGCCCGGTGGTGGGCCAGGTGAGGGCTGCGGGGGCGCCGACGGCTGCTGATGGTGGTGGTGGTGGTGGTGGTTCTGAGCAGAGGCAGGAATGTTCCCGGGGGAGCCGCTGCCACTGCTGCTGCTGCTGCTGCTGTAGAAACTGCTTTCAGGGACTGAGGAGAGCGCAGGGCTGGAGCTGGGGGCCGGGCAGCTGGGCACAGTGGCCATGTTTGGGAAGGATGGGGAAGGGTGGCTACTGGAGGAGGCAGTGTTGCTGTTCGCACAAAAGCTGCCCTGCAGGGGGCCCACAGGCACACTGCTCATTGCAGAGAAGGCAGCTTTGGTGTTGGCTGTGTACAGCGCAGTCCGGGGGTTTATTATTGCAGGGGGCACACTGATCTGTACGTTATTAGAACAGGAAGTTTGTCCAGAAATGACAGAATCCGCAGGGACAGATGAAGACACCAGAAGTTTGATTGGTGGCCGAGCCACGTGGAAGACTGTGCTGGATGTTCCCACGGCAGCAGTGCTAGTCTCCACCACCAGGGCCGGCTGCTGGGCTGGCTTCATCACCCTGTCCAGTGCAGACGCATGGACAACTTTGGTGCGGGGACCAAAGGAGATAGTGGGTGACACAGAGCTGCTCTCAGCAAGTCCAGAGAGGACCTGCATGGGCTGATGGGGGGCAGACGTGGGCAACACATCCATCATGGCATTGCCAAAACTCTTGTCCACTTTGATTCCACTTCTTGGTCCAGAGACTTTATTCCTTTCTTCTAGAGACAGCAATGAGTGCATAGAAGACGAGAGGAGCTTCATGTCCGTGCCTCCCCTTTCTGATTTGTGCACAGAATTCAGCATTCGGATGGGTGCAATGTGCGAGGCTGCAGTCATCATCTGTGGAGGCAGGGGGTGGTGGCCTGAAGGGTTGGAGCCTGCCTCATTCTGCACAGGGAGAACCTGGGCCGTGGGTCTGGCAGAACTTGAAGTGAAATGATTCAGTAGCATGACAGGCTTCTCCTTCTCAGAACCCTCCATGTGCATCTCCACACCTAGATGGAAACAGAGAGGTCAGCACAGCCCCACAGCCTAGGGCAGAGGCAGCACCGCGCCAGACATGCCGGGCATCCTTACGCCTGTCATTCTCCTCAGCGCTGTCGGAGCTCTCCTCCCGGGCCTGCACCCCCATCGGGCTGGGGGAAGAGCTGGAGCACTCGGAGGAGCTGCCTTCCCGGGCCGTCTGGTGAGGGGGCTCCACTTCCACCCGCAGGGCTGTGGAGAAGGGACAGTGATAGTCCACAGGTGCACCCAAATCCCGCGTCACAGACCTCCAACAGGGCCGCCCCGCCCGCCTCCGTGCAGACCTATCGCACACTCATTTCTTTACATCAGTCCCAAGAAGGCAGGTACGAGTATTTCCACATTCAACAGGGCTCTGACATTCTCAGAGAACAAACTGCCCAAGGTCACGGCGAGTTATGTGGCAGATGCAAACAGCGATGCTCTCAGCCAGATGCTCTAAGGCCTCCCTCTACTCACACTAGAGAATGAGAAAAAAGGGTTCCTAAACCAGCACGGTGCTGCAAAAGGAGTCATCCACCAACACCCTGTCTCATGAGGTAGAGGGACATAGACCTTTTTAGTTAAATAACCACTTAGAAGATACACTGCATTTTTTCCTTCCTTGTTTACTGTTACTCTTTTTTTTTTAATATATATTTTATTGATATTTTACAGAGAGGAAGGGAGAGGGATAGAGAGTTAGAAGCATTGATGAGAGAGAAACATCAATCAGCTGCCTCCTGCACACCTCCTACTGGGGATGTGCCCGCAACCAAGGTACATGCCCTTGACCGGAATTGAACCCGGGACCTTTCAGTCTGCAGGCCGACGCTCTATCCACTGAGCCAAACCGGTTAGGGCTACTATTACTTTTGATATTTCTGCTGGTATGGCTTGGTACACTGAAAGGTTGCGGGTTCGATTCCCAGTCAGGGCACATACCCAGGTTTTGGGTTTAATTCCCAGTCGAGGCACGTGTGGGATAAATACTACAATGAATTGATATTTCTCTCTCTCTCTCCCTCTCTGAAAATTGATGAAAGCATGTCCTCGGGTGAGGATTAAAAGAAAGAAAACAACAGAGCAACTTATACAGGGGTCCTCAACCTTTCTCTGAGGAGAGGGAGAGACAGGAGGAGGAGGGGAATAGTGGCTGAAAAATCAGATCACTGAAGCTTCAAGTCCCCAGAGCAGAAAGGGGGTGGTTAAGCATGGAGAATTCCAAAGGAAACCTATTAGGCAATGACTTAAACACGACCTCTGTGCTCCACCTAGGGGAAGAGAGAGGCTTTCATTTATTTTGTATAATCCCACTTTTCCCTTCTCACCATAGTAGTTTCTGGATCTAATTCTTTAGCCCAAACAACTTTAGGCAATTCACCAGTATCCAGCTTCTAAGGAAAATGACCCTTCTAATTTCCTGTGGTAGAGACTCCAAAAGCTAAAATAATGAATAGTAATTGTAAATACTAAAAAATACATATGGCAGAAGGGCATATTATGAGGTCTAATGATTATCAAAAGGAACAGACTACACTCCACGTGTCCAGGCTGACCCGGCTCTCACCTACCTGCAGCGTGGGGGCTCCGGACATTCTGCACGGGCCCCACGTGGCTTGTGGGGGGCACACGGGCCACTCCACTGCTGGTGACCGGGGGTGGGGCTGAGGGGTTCAGGCACCGTTTCTCTGACTTCTCCCTGTTATAATAAAAAAGCATGCAAACAAGCACATTTTAAATTCTGCTGAAAAACCCTCTCATGTTTCACAAACTCTGCATAAGTGCATATATTCTACACAAAGGTGACTTTCATTAAAATAATCTCCCGGGTGGAAAATACCCCATTCTAACTAGTCAGATTCACTAGAAGGACCTTTCCTAGCAAACCTTTCCTAGGGCCACATTCATAGAATTTAAAAAGCAGTAAGATGTGATAAGCAATCAAAAGTGACCCAATCGCTAATATGTAACAAAACTCTAAGTCCTAGCACCTGTTCAGCAGGTCAGACGCTAAAACAACAGACATTTCACAACTTCACACTTACTTCTCCAGCTCCAGTTGAGTCTTGAGTTTTTTCTTTGCTCCCATGGTAAGGGATTCAAATTTATTTAGATCTTCTTCGGTAAGGCTCAGAAACTTCCATAGAAGAAATAAATGACAAAATTATTGAGAATTACGATTCTGAAAACAAAGAACTTTGATTCCATTTCTAGGACATGCAAACAGACCAAAAAGTAGATAATAAAAGACTTGGGAAAACGAAAACATTTACTTGCTAAATGTTTGGTACCCATAGTTCAAAATACAAGACACTCATTTTGCGTCTATAAGGGCACAAGGCACCTCACAATGGCTTGGTGAAGACCCATGCTGTGCAGGAAGGTGATGACAGAGATGCAATCTGTGGAAGTGGCCCCTTCCTCTCTGGGACACCCCCCGCAAATGCAAGCATTACCCTCCTGCAGAAAAACAGCTCTTTTTTCTTGATATCTGGGACAACAGCAACTTTGTTGGGCAGCAAGTGATCCAGAAGAGCAGAGGCCATCAGAACTAACCCGGCCTTACACCACGCAGACAAATGACGTTCTGGTTCTCAAGACAGTCCATGCATGGTTTGTGAGTGTAGCCATTTTAACTGATGCATTAAAACTTATAAAGCTGATCATGACCGTGTCAGTAAAATCTGTTGTTTCTAAGATCCATGAATCCTAAACTGAAACTATTACAAATATACTTAAAATTTGTTTTTTATTATGCAGTAAAAGCTGAATTTCTAAGTTCAATTGCAGGTTTTTGGACAAATGACATTTTACCTAGATAAAAGCCACCAAGTCATTTTATCCAACAGGGGGAGCTCAGAGTTCAGATGCCACGTACAGGACTAATTTAGTTTTATCATTGATCTAAGACCTAAGAAATTTCAGAATTTAAGAGTGAAATAATGCTCCTCATCTAAACTTTCTATTGTTTTTTTTTTAATATTTTATTGATTTTCTACAGAGAACAAGGGAGAGGGATAGAGAGCCAGAAACATCGATGAGAGAGATCGATCAGCTGCCTCCTGCACACCCCCCCACCGGGGATGCGCCCGCAACCAAGGAACATGCCCTTGACCGGAATCGAACCTGGGACCCTTCAGTCCGCAGGCCGATGCTCTATCCATTGAGCCAAACCGGTTCAGCTGAACTTTCTATTGTAAAAAATAATTTCTATGTAGCACTGCTTGAAAGCCCTAAAATACATCTATTCCGTTAGTTATTTGACCCTAAATCAAGCCAGATCATCAGAGAGCCACTTACTGGGACCAGTGTTTGGGTCCCTTGTAAAACTGGCCTTCCTGAGCTGAGCATCAGCACATGCACGGGCCTTGGAAGGACATCCAAGACGGCGGCTGGGGGATGTGGGCACCAAAATTCACCATTTCTACCAATTGCAGGACTGATGGAGACACAATGTCCTTCTCATCACAGAGTACCAAATTTGTAAAGACCCCAAACTATCTTAAAAAGATGTTTGTTTGCAACCAATCCTGTTCCAGCTTTTGCTTCAGCGGCAGGCAACCTTCAAGTTCTAATCCACTGCCACCCTCCTGGGAGCATGCAGGACTTAGGGCATGCATCTGTAGGTGTGAAATTCCAGGCACTGTGATTTCCACAACACAAAGTTTAGAAACCCAACTGACTTCTTCTAGGAATGAGGTCAGAAGAAAGATTACCTGAGAAAACAAGCAAATTCTACATCGCCTGCTTAGTAGCCAACATACCTTCTCCATTGTAAGTTGTTTAAAGACGGGATAGTATTTGTGCAAACGCAGTTTCCTCAGCCAATCTAAAATCCCATTTTGCTCCTGGGTCTGAGGGGTCTGCAGACTGGAAGGCATTAAGATGGCAGGCGAGGTGTCCATCTGGGCCCGGTAGGCCAGCGCCGCGCCCCCGCCCCCTGTGTGGGAGCAGTGGGGCAAGGCGGCTGCGCCAGCTGAGTGCTGCATGTGGTGCTGGGCGCCGCTCTGAGAGGATGGGATGCCGGCTACTCCACACACAGGCCTGTGGGACAGAGGACAGGTGGTTTCAGAAGACCGCAGCCTCCCTGTTAGAGGCATGCACAAGCCAGCTTCTCCATCCTGGATGCATCTGCAGTCCCATCCACTGCTCACCTCAGAGCCCTTTCTGCCACTTCTCCACCCCATCGCTCCACCCCACTGAAGTCTGAAGTCTGTATGTGTACATGCATGTATATGCATCAATTTGTATGATATTTAACATGTGTACATATGCGTTTGTATGCACGTTTAAGAGTATGTAATCTATGTGTGTACATATATGTGTATGTACATATGTGTGTGTCACAACTTGACTAGTTTCTTTCTGTTACTTTTATCACAGGATAATACTGACAATCATAAATTAAAACTGACTCCTAAATCTTGAATACTCAAGTTAACCTTAAAAAAACCCCACAAATCCTAGAAGCTGGAAGGAACAAAAAGCATTCTACTTTCTGTCCTTGCCCCTTCCACCCTCAACTGTAAACCCACATGGATTAACTATGTGCTCACTACACACCAGGCTGAGTGCTACGCAGTAAAGAAGAAAGTCAGAGCTTTCCACAACCTCATTAACTGCCTAGTTCTTCACACAACTGTGTGGTGCGCACATGCTCTGTGAGGTCAGCCCATTAAAAATGTCAGCTGTCAGACAGGCAGATGGCCTTTCCGTCACCTGAGCACTCCTACCATCGCTGTCCGGACCAGGAGAACAGAGGACCCCGACAGCAGCACTCTGGCATCAGGCCTACTCACCTGCGGGAGCTTGTATAAATGAAGATTCTCAGAAATTCTGGCTTCCTAGAATGAACAGGGCCTAGAAACTGGCACTTGTAGTGGGATTCCTTGGGAATTCCAATTCCAGTTGCTTAGAGAACACTTCTTTTTTTATTTTTAGAAATCTTAAATTGGATTATCTCTATACTATTCTTTTCTCAACACTATTTAAAACTAAGATTGAGAATGACTTATTCTAGAAATAATTATTTACACACAACCAAAAGTAACAATGCTGATTTAGAAGGTGTTGGTTAGCCCAGCCAGTGTGGTTCAGCATTTGAGCGTTGACCCAGGAACCAAGAGGTCACCTGTTTGATTCTCAGTCAGGGAACATGACCAGATTCTGGGCTTGATCCCCAGTAGGGGGCATGCAGGAGGCAGCCGATCAATGATGTTTCTCTCTCATCGATGCTTCTATCTCTATCCCTTTCTCTTCCCTCTCTCTCTAAAAAAAAAAAAAAAAAAGGGTTGGTTACATGGTAGAAGTCTCACCTTCCAGACACGCCCATCATGGTACCAACTTTAGAAAGGGAAAGGTTGCCAGGACCTGTGAGTTAAAATAAATATCATAAAATTTACAGACAATAAAAATATTCTTATTTTTATTTAATCACATTTTACAAACTCACTTGGACTTTGAAGCTGTTGGGTGGGAGATGAAGTGCTGAAAAATTTCTTAACATGGTCATTTTTCAGTACGTGAGAAGGTAATGAAGCCAAATACCTAAAAATTAAACCAAGGAGCTTATCAGCATTAAAATGGTATTACCACAGACTGGGAGAGAAATTTCAATTCCCAATTAAGAGAAATATATATTAGAGAAAAAAATAAGTGCCTTAATCTACATTCATCAGATATAATTCAATTTAATCCTTATTATGATTCATACTGCTTCCCCATGCCCCTTTTCTCACTTGCACATTATTACAATGTATGAATCAAGCCTTTCAGGGCCTGATGAGCTATCATGTGACCGCAGTCAGTGCCATCACAATCACCAGGAACTTGCAGCCACTGTGCTGCAACTAGGTCTCAGGTGCTAAGATGTCAGGTCCCATTCTGAAGACCAGGCCGCAGGCCTCCCCTCCCTGCACATTTACAAACCAGAATGCTAGGTTAGGTAGGATCCAGGGTCCAGAGACATCTGGCCCAGGAGACTTTGTTAGCCCCCGGAACAGTCTGAACTTTCCACTATAGAGCAGAATAGTAATCAGATATAATTTTATCAGACTGTCAAAACTACATTAAATGGGAGCATATACGTTGATTTTTTTATTGATTGGTTGATTTTAGAGAGGAGAGGAGAGAGGGAGAGGATAGGAGGGAGGGAGAGAAACATCAATTTGTTTCACTTATTTATGCATTCATTGGTTGCTTCTTGTATGTGCCCTGACTGGGGGATCGAACCTGCAACCTTGACATATCAAGACAATGCTCTAGGCAACTGAGCCACCCAGCCAGGGCAAGTAGCATATACCTGAAATTCCTTTGCTCATATTCTCAAAATCACAACTAGGTTATTAAGAGTCTTGGAACTGCCCACAACTGATGAATATCCCTAGAAACAAAGTAGAGATTCAAACCATCCAGAGTAATAACCTCAGGAGGTCCTCGGATGAACAGGCAGCTCATGTCTGGAACTGCCCAGCCTGCCCACCCTGCAGAGGGTCAGCAGTCACCACTGTGCCGCCAGCAGGGCTGCGTCCTATGGCCCTGGGGGTGGGGTAAAGAGCATTACCTCAGGTCCGCTTCCAGATCCATGTGGTTTCGCTCTACATAAAACGAATCTGGGCCAGCTAAGCAAGGAATGAATTTCTCCAAATTTTCTTCAGGGTATAGCTGAGATAACTGAAAGAAATGAAAAAGCTTAGGAAGTATGTCAAAATTCATTTTAAAACCAGAATTCTTCCATATAAGAAAAAACTTGGGTAGGCATTAGATGGGGGTATCTGCTGGTATGATACAAAGTACTCTTCTATTAGCTACTTGGGATGTAGAAAACCACAAAAGAACATCACACTCCCACCAAACATCAAGAAAAAGCTTGGTTTTCCACACATCGTACCTTCCCTTGAGCCCATCAGAGAGCTGAATTGCAAGGTCACTACCTGAACTGATTTTCAAGAGGATCCACCCCTCCGAGGAGAGAGAGGACACGTGAACTGTCAGCTGTGGCAGTGCACAAGGAGGAGGTGGCTGCATATAAGCAGGTAGAAGAGATTGGTCAAGATGGACACATTCCCACAGGCTGAGTGTGACAACCATCAGCCAGGAGCCCAGACACAGGGGAGTGTGCCCTCACTCCCAAGCTCTCTTCCACAGGCCAGAGACTGGAGGGAGCCTCCATAGGTGACACAGATGTGGGTTGGCTTCCCCTGGAGAACAGGGAGGAAACCCTGTGCCTTTCCCTGGAGCCTTCAACCCAAGACAAAAGTCCTTAAGTTGCTAGGGGAGGAACAAGACTGCTCCTGATCCCAGAGCCCAAGCAAATACCCCAAGTTTCTGGGGATGATGATGAAGAGATGAAGAATTCAACAAATTTAACAGGTTCATGAGAAGCAATACTTTCCTGCCTCTGGGCGCAGGATAGGAAGTCCTCCTGGCACAGGCCACTGGCAAAGATACCCTGCTTTGGAGGAAGGTAAAAGCAAAACACCTCTGGCCTGGAGGAACGGGCCTACCTGGGTCAAGGGTCCTGCAACATCACAAAGTGGAAGTCAAGCTGTTGCTGGGGAATGAAGGGGCAGGGATGCTGAGAAAGCCCCTGCCAAAGGCCTTGTGCCTGGGCCTAAGACTGGACCAGGAGGAGGGAGAACCCTTCTTCCACCTCCCCCAAGCCCATCACCAGGCAACAAGTAACAGCTGTCTCACGACGTGGAGGGTGGGGTTGAGGAGTCAACAGAGTAGGGAGATCCCTCTGAGCCACAGCCAGACTCCTGAAAGCTGAGTATGAAGCAAGACTACAGAGAAGGACCTTTCACACTCCAGGCCCCACTTGGGGCTCCCTACCAGCAGCCATTTGCTGGAGAAACCTGAAGCTTGTGGTACACTGAAGATAATCAGAGTAGCAACAAAACTCAAACCCACACCTGATTGGATCAAGTCGAGGACCCCACTGAGGGCCTGACAGAGCAAGCACTCCCATTTCCAGGCATAACACTATTTCCCTCAGTCTCTAGATTTTCTAAACATGATTTCTAATACCCAATCAAAAACTGTAAGGCATACCCCCCCCGCCCCCGAAAGGAAGAATAAAAAACTTATCAAGGTAATTATCAGAACCAGACTCAAAACCAACTCAAATGCTGGAACTATCAGACAGGGACTTTAAAATAACTATATTAACATAATAAAATATTTAGTTAAAAAAAAAAAAGTGCATGCAAAGCCTAGCTAGCATGGCTCAGTGGTTGAGCATCGACCTATGAATCAGGTGGTCACGGTTCAATTCACAATCAAGGGCACATGACCGGGTTGCAGGCTCGATCCCCGTTGTGGGGCATGCAGGAGGCAGTCAATCAATGGTTCTCTCTCATCATTGATGTTTCTGCCTCTCTCCCTCTCTTTCCTTTCCAAAATCAATAAAAATATTTTAAAAAAAACACGAATAACTGGGAAATTTCAGCAGAGAGATGGAAAGTTGATTAAAAGACATGTCAAATGAAAAGGCTAGGGGGAAAAAAGCAAAAAACAAAATAGAAATAAATAAAACAAAAACAAGTAAACTATGGTATCAGAAATGAAGACTCAACAGGTTTGTTAGCAGCCTGGGCAGAGGTGAGAAGTAACGTCAATAAACTGGAAGACAGAGGGCAATATAAATTACCCAAACTGAAACAGTGCAGAGACTAAGAAAAACAAGAGCAACATCAAAGGTCCAAGTACATGTAGCGAAGTCCAGGAGAAGTGCAAGTGAGCGGGCAGAAGAAATATCTGAAGAGATAACGGACAAGAATTTTCCAAAATTAATGAAAGACAGCAAACCATATATCGAAGAATATGAGCCACTGTAAACACCCAGACAAAAGACCAATGCAAGCAGAGTCACAGTTCCCACCAGCATCAGGGAATCCAGAGAAACTGTTTTGTTTTGCTTTTTTTTTTTTTTTTTTAAACAAATGAGAGCTAGGCACAAAGGAGAGGCCATGCAGTGTTCTGAATGTTATAGAGGGAAAGTGAACTCCAGGGAGGATCAGTAATGCTAGAGAGCTTGGCACTGTGGTGTTTCTCTGTGCCTGACTGGCCAAAAGGACAGGCAAGAATCAAACAGCCTCCTGTCCACGCTTTTTAAGTAGGATGCACCAACAGGATTTCCTCCTATAGGATTATATCCTTGATTTTATAATGAAAGTATCAGACTTTGGAGACACTTCAAATACAAGTAGGGTATGTAGGTAGGTAGGTATGCATGTACACATGTAAAGAGATGTTTATTTAGTAGTGGAAGCTTTTGTTCAAGTGATATTTGTTGCAACAATTTAAAAATAAACAGGAAAACCCAATGTGTAAAACAGGTAAAGGTGGGACTAGACAAAGCCTCTGACCACTGAGCAACCCGTGCATGCCTCTCCCTCAGCCTCCACGAAGAGCAACCAAACCAACACTCTTGGTCATCTGTGTAGTTGCATTGTTTGCCTCAACTCATTCTCAACAACTGGAAGGAGTAGAGATTGTGGCACCGAGGACCATGTGTTTATTGCCATGCACCCTGTCAGACACAGCCCTTGGACTGCCTCTGGACAGGCACGACTAGGCACTGCACTCACTATGCTAGCTGAAGGAAGCTGTCCACCGAAATCACTCTGCAGTACAGCCAACCACAGGGGAACGGGAGCCTTCTCATTGTTAGATGAGCCCTTAATCACCTTACCTTTGAAATAAATTCAGTCACTTCAGAGGAAGATTTGGTTACTGATGTTACTGAAGAGTCAGACCACAAGACCTTAAAAACAAACAAACGAACAAACCTTAAAAACAGACACCACATACGCAATTCACAGCAGGTTTGTCCAGGCATCCTTGCTGGCGCAGGTGCTGGGAACACAACAGACCCTAGTGTATTGTGCACCTTGTGAACTGGAGCATTTACACATCCCTTGACTTGTTGGAGAAAGAGCATTCACCCAGGCCCAAAGATTAACTCTGTGTTTTGTGCAATTGCTCAAATATCACCAAATTACTCAAGCATGGAGTCTAAGGTTTGCTCCTTAAAGTTCTAGGAAGTCACTGATAATTACGACTTGATGCCAGTAAACATCAGCTTCAAGTGGACCTCCTCTTCTCAGGTCAGTGTACATGACTCTGGATGCAAGTCAAAGAAGTTACCAGAAATCAACCCATGCGTCCACACAGTAAGTGCTTGTATGCACCCCTGCCCTCAGGAATCTCACAGAACTGGGGGCCCCAGAGGAGTGAATCCATGACAGCAGGCCAGGGCATCAGTACTGAACAGCAGAGAAAAACCTTCCATGGTGGGGGAGTGTAGGAAGAATTCAGGGAGGAAACCTCAGAAAGGCTTTCTGGAAAAAGTTCTACAATGCCTGGCATGCCAAAGACCTGATTATACATATGTGTGTTTTTCCTTGCCTGCAGGTATGACAATGGGCAATTTTATTTCATTACTTCCTGAGTGTCAGTCTCAACAAATGGGCTGTAAGCTCCTGGAGGAGAGCACTGGGTCTCTTTCGTCTGTTTGTTTTCTCTCAGCATGTCTCACCATGTTTCCACCTACAGCGCTAGGTGAACATGAGGGGAGGCGAAATGGCACCTATAGATATCATGAGAGGGCTTTTCTGCATGAGGAAAGCATGAGCTGAACTGGAATGGGAAAGTAAGAACTCTGTTAAAGGAATGGGACAGACAAAGGGACAGAATGAGATGAGAGGGAGGAAGGGGCCAGAACAAGAAGGGTTAAACCACGAAATAGAAACTTTACCCTAAAGTCCAGAAGCTGCTGGAGGATTTCAAGTCAGGAAATAAAATAATCAAATATATATTTTTTATTACTTAAAAAATATTTTTATTGACTTTTAGAGAGAGGGGAAGGGAGAGGGAGAGAGACACATTGATGGAAGAGCGAAACATCAATGCGTTGCCTCCTGCACGCCCCCTGCCGGGAATATCAAGCCCACAACCTGGTCATGTGCCTGACTGAGAATTGAACTGGCTATCTTTCAGTGCACTGGATAACACCCAATCAACTGAGCCACACCAGGCAGGGCCCCAAATGTATTTTATTACCCAAAATAAAGTATTATATTTATACTAATTTAGAGCAAACAGAGCTCAGAAATATCAAAAATTCCTTCTGCTCCCCCCACCAGCTCTCATCATGTATGCTGAGGGGCTCCTCTGGTCTGGAAGGACTGAGGAAAAGGACCATCTTCTTTATCTTTGAACTAGAGGCGTGGTCCACGAAATTCATGCATGGGAGGGGGTCCCCTCAGCCCAGCCTGCACCCTCTCCAATCTGGGACCCCTCGGGAGACATCCCTCTCACAATCCAGGACCGCTGGCTCCTAACTGCTCACCTGCCTGCCTGCCTGATTGCCCCTAACTGGCCCCCCTGCCAGCCTGATAGCCCCAAACTGCCCCCTACCCGCTGGTCTGGTTGCTCCCAATGACCCCCCTCCCGCCGACCTGGTCGCCCCCAACATCCCCCCTTGCCAGCCTGGCTGCCCCCAACATCCCCCCCTGCCGGCCTGGTCGCCCCCAATGTCCCCCCATGCTGGCCTGGTCGCCCCTCACTGCCCTCCTGCCAGCTTGGTTGCCGCCAACTGCGATCCCCGCCAGCCTGATCGCCCCACACAGCCTGCTGTTCAGTCATTTGGTCGTCCCTCACTAAGCCCTGCCGGCCTGGTCACCCCACACAGCCTGCTGCTCAGTCATTTGGTCGTCCCTCACTAACCCCCCTGCTGACCTGGTCACCCCATGCAGCCTGTTCGGTCGTCCGTTCGGTTGTTTCGGATGTGATGGCCCCTGGCTCTTTATATATACTAGAGGCCCGGTGCACAAAAATTTGTGCATTCGGGGGGCAGGGGGGTCCCTCAGCCCGGCCTGTGCCCTCTCGCAGTCTGGGACCCCTCGGGAGATAACAACCTGCTGGCTTAGGCCTGCTCCCGGGTGGCAGAGGGCAGGCCCATTCCCTAGGTGCAGCCCCTGGTCGGGCTCAGAGCAGGGCCGATTGGGGAGTTGGGGCGCTGCCCCGTCATGCACAGAGCAGGGCGGATAGGGAGGTTGCGATGCCACCCTCAGTCACGCTCAGGGTAGGGCCAATTGGGGGGCTGGGGCACCGCCCCGTCACACTCAAGGCAGGGTCGATGGGGATGTTGCGGCGCCACCCCGTCACGCACAGAGCAGGGCCAATCAGGGGGTTGGGGTGCTGCCCTGTCACGCACAAAGCAGGGCCCATAAGGGGGGTTGGGGCTCCATACCCTGTCACGCACAGAGCAGGCGGATCAGGGGGTTGGGGCGCCACCCTCTATCACCCACAGAGCAGGGCCGATCAGGGGGTTGGGGCGCCGCCACTGTCACACTCAGGGCAGGGCCGATGGGGAGGTTATGGCTCTACCCCATCACACACAGAGCAGGGCCCGTGGAGGGGGGATTGGGGCACTGCACCCTGTCACCCACAGAGCAGGGCCGATCAGGGGGTTGGGGCGCCGCCACTGTCACACTCAGGGCAGGGCCGATGGGGAGGTTATGGCTCTACCCCATCACACACAGAGCAGGGCCCGTGGAGGGGGGATTGGGGCGCCGCCCTCTATCACCCACAGAGCAGGGCCGATCAGGGGGTTGGGGCGCCGCCACTCTCACACTCAGGGCAGGGCCGATAGGGAGGTTATGGCTCTACCCCATCACACACAGAGCAGGGCCCATTGGGGGTGGGGGGATTGGGGCACTGCACCCTGTCACACACAGAGCAGGGCCGATCAGGGGGTTGGGGTGCCGCACCCTGTCACACACAGAGCTGCAGGGTGATCAGGGGGTTGGGGAGCTCCCCCCTATCAGGCACAGAGCAGGGCTGATCAGGGGGTTGCGGTGCCTTCACCTGTCACGAACAGAGCAGGGCGGATAGGGAGGTTGTGGCCCCGCACCCTGTCGCACACAGAGCTTCAGGGCGATCAGGGGGTTTGGGCGCTGCCCCCTGTCACACTGATCCCGGTGCTGGGAGGCCTCGCGGCTCCGCTGATCCCGGTGCTGGGAGGCATATTACTCTTTTACTATATAGAATAGAGGCCTGGTGCACGGGTGGGGGCCGGCTGGTTTGCCCTGAAGGGTGTCCTGGATTGGGGGGGTGGTCCCCACTGGGGTGCCTGGCCAGCCTGGGTGAGGGGATGATGGCTGTTTGCAGCTGGTCACACACCCTTCAGAGTGGGGGTCCCCACTGGGGTGCCTGGCCAGCCTGGGTGAGGGGATGATGGCTGTTTGCAGCTGGTCACACACCCTTCAGAGTGGGGGTCCCCACTGGGGTGCCTGGCCAGCCTGGGTGAGGGGATGATGGCTGTTTGCAGCTGGTCACACACCCTTCAGAGTGGGGGTCCCCACTGGGGTGCCTGGCCAGCCTGGGTGAGGGGATGATGGCTGTTTGCAGGCTGGCCACAACCCCTTCAGGGTAGGGGTCCCCACTGGGGTGCCTCGCCAGCCTGGGTGAGGAGCTGATGGCTGTTTGCAGGCTGGCCAAGCCCCCCGGCGAGGACCCTCACCCCATGAGGGTGTGGCCATCCTGGGTGAGGGGCTGATGGCTGTTTGCAGGCTGGCCACAGCCCCCAGCCTCCCAAGCTCCCAGTGGAGGCTGGCTGGAAGCAGGTATCTGGGACTTATTTAGCTTCTATAATTGAAACTTTGTTGCCTTTTGCAGAGGCCACAGCTGGCCAGGGCAGGCAGGAAGCTTGGCTTCCTCCATCGCCAGGGCAACCAAGCCTCCTGCTTGCTGTCAGCCATCTTGTTGGGTTAATTTGCATATAGTCGTTCTGATTGGCTGGTGGGCGTGGCTTGGGCATAGCGTAGGTATGGTCAATTAGCATCTTTGTCTTTTATTAGTGTAGATTCCCAACACCTACAGAAATTCACCAGCAAGGTGAGCACTATATTCTTTGAACAAAACTGCCCTGCCATGTAAAACCTGCCTACACTAAAATAAAAATATCCTTTGTGTCTAAAATAATCAAATATGCCTGGCCAGTGTTGCTCAATGGTTGAGTGTCGACCAATGAACCAAGAATTCACCGGTTCAATTCCCTGTCAAGGCACATGCCTGGGTTTCGGGCTCAATTCCCAGTAAGGGGTGTGTGGGAATCAACCAATTGATGTCTCTCTTATCGATGTTTCTATTTCTCTCTCCCTTCCTCTCCCTCTAAAATCAATAAAAATATATATATTTTAGAATAAACAAATCTTATGACAACATTAAAATGAAATTTGGTAGTGGTGTTGGAGGAAGCTGCTACCCACATAAAACACAAGTAACATCTATGATTAAAGGTGAAAACTGTCTAGTCATTAGATGTTTTACTCAAAGCACTGTTGACATGTTGTTTTTTTCAAAGTAAAAGATGTGGAAAACTTTTTCCCTTATAACTCTTAAACTATGATAACAATCTGTTTCTAGTTTAAATCTTTTCTTAAGCATACACAAAAAGCAAAATATGCACAAAATACATACTTAGGATTTCTTCACACTCGAGAGTCTAATGGTGAGTCACTTTTCACCTCAGTTCGCAAAAGTAGTGTTTTTCCACATGGCATCACACTCCAGAGCATGTGGAGTGACATTTTCTTTGCCCTACACAGGAATTCACCAAGCCAGAGGCCCCTGCCCACTACTCATGTCACATCCATAAGGTCGGCGGGAGGCCCAGTGCCACCACACCTATTGCCAACCCTCTGAGAAGTCCCAAAGCAACCACAAAGATGAGCAAAGCAGTCACATGGAAAGAGGCAG